ATCTATGTCACTTTATATTGAAATATAAATTTCAGGCATAAATGACATATGCCTGAATGTCATATCACCTACTTATTTTGCACCAATGAATTGGAGACAGAAGATTCAGCACACTCAAATTGATATATACACAATAAAAATAAAATCTATCTACACTCACTAGAACACTTTTTCTATATTCTATATATATCTTTTGTTATATCGTTGTGACGATATGAAGGCTGACAGCAACAGTGAGATTGCGTATGGTCAACTGACAAGGCCTAAACGCTATTTGTACAAACGCAGTATTTTCTCCGATATCTTATATACGTCGCAATAACCTTGGTAACTAGTCTTTATCTAAAATATCAAAAGTTAGAAAACTGTGAAGTACCACATAGGGTCAGAATATATCCAGGTGTCAAACTGTTACTTGTTAGATATTAACATGTGTGTTTCCAATATCAAATACTTTTAGCCTTAAATTCCAGCACTCTGCAGAAGAATCATTGGGTGTCAAAATGAAAATTAGACGATTAAAATTCGGTATTTTCTAAACCAGTAAAGATATTGAAATGAAATTTTCTTAGAATATAGTTTTGATATGGTCTTTCTTTTGATATATTTGGAGTCTTATCCAGAACATGGCCAACTTTAACAATTTTTTAAATATCTTAAAAACTTTGATAGGAAGAAATTTGAAATTTGGTGTACTAAATACCAGAGCTATAATACATATACTTAAAATATATTTAAGGAATATATATCATTTCCATATCACTACTGGTTCAGTAAAAACCGTAATATTGTTAACTTAATAACCAACAGCTTGACTGGTGTTAGCTATTGAAAATTAAGTAAAAATTATAATTCTCACTTTGTTTAGTGAGTTGAAGCTATATATAGTTCAAACCTCTACAATAGTTAGTGAGTTAGAAAATAATGTTAATATAAAATTGTGCGTTTTTAGTCGGTTCAAAGATACTAGAAATTATTCTACAATTTCCTTATCTGTATACTATAACATGCCTTATGATACGTTGTAATAGATTCGCAAGCTATATGTATTGGTTTAGCGCATAAAACGATAGCATCATTTAAAATAATGTGGTGTATTGTTATTTTAAAGTATAGCAAGTTTTCACCTAAACTTAAATATTCTTCACTGGGAGTTAGTAGGACTAAAATAACTTTGCAGATCTACAATCAAATCCAGTTAAATAATATGTACTAACAATAAATAATTTCATATCAATATTCAGAAAATACTAAATTTTGATCATCTAATTTTTGTTTTGACACTTTGCGAGACAGTTCTAAATGTCTACTTTATACGAATACTGCTTGAATTCACTATTTTTCGATAGAGCGTGATGTTACATCCTTGTGCTTTTCAGGTTAATGAAGATATTGAATGTTATTTGCTTAGCACTTTACGATGCAGTAGTCGTATCCAATTTGTAAAAGCCTAAAGCTTTTATAAAAAACGTTCTGATCTCATTTTTCTGTAATAACATTTATGCTCGACATCATATAAAACTATTGATATAATTATTGACCTAGAAAACGAAAGTTATATCGATCATGAGAAAGGTTTGCTAATGATGGCGTTATCAAGAAGGACAATTCTGAAAGTTATTTACCAGCCAACATCCCATTGCCCATACATTTTTGACTATAGCCGATATCTACTTCGTGTTGCCTCTATTTGCCCTTAAGCCGATATTTGCAGATTGATTTTCGACAGCAATATTGACATCACGTCTGAGCGACCAACAATTCGATGCTGTGGTTGGTGCATCGTACCATGATTTGATTATTTTTTGGCATTGGGTATACAGCTGCATATCAACAAAGCAAAGCATACACAACATGAGCTCAACAAATTAAGAACCGGCGTATTTACTAATATTAACATTTTCATAGCTGTTAATTTACATACCTATGTAATTTACATACAGCTTTTTACACCAGAATGATATTTCATTTATACTCACAATTTTCGGAGTATAAAGTACTTCAGCTAGATAAATTTTGCTACACTACATTTAGGTCTTATACGCCTAGTACTGGTACCTAGTACCAGTAGTACTGGTACGTAAACTTTTAAGATACGGACAAAAAATCAAATTCACAGTTAAGAACTGTAAAATTATTTTTAATAAAATAGTTTGTTAAAGCTAAATGCACTAACGGACCTATTATGTGCACCTGACAGATTTGTCAAATTCTTTAATAAAATTTTTGATTTTTATAAAGCAGAAAGCTTTTTGGTATTCTGGACACATCTTGACAAATTTCAAAGCTCAAGTACATAATGATTCTCACCACACTATGGTGTAAAGTGTTTTGTATAGAAAACTATTCGTAAATGTTCGTAACTGTTCGTAAAAAATGCTTGTAAAGAGCACATATTTTAAGTTGTCAAAAGCATTTTTCATGCATTCAA